ACACACCCCCAAACTCCACCCCACACACTCCCACTCACAAACCTACACACACTCACACCCTGTACGCACATTTACAGTCACACACACTACGCACACGCTCACCCTATACGCACACACTCACAGACACACACGGTCACACTCACGCTCTCACACTCTCTGGCCGAGGCCCCTTCCTGGGCGCCCAGCTCCGTCCCTCCCCCCGTGTTGCAAGCACGAGCTCCCGGGGGATCTGCGCCCCGCACCCTGCCCGCCCTCAGGCCGGCGCTGTCCTGACGCCAGAAAGAGCCAGAGAAGGGGGTGCGGAGTGTGGGCGGGGGGAGCGGCCGCCCGGCCTGCTCTGGGGTGGGGCCGGCAGGACGGTGACCCACACCGTGCCCGGTCTGAGCGGGTCCGCGGAGGGGAGGGTCACCCCACGCAGGCCAGCGGCAGAAGGTGTGACGTCCTGCCCGCTGCCTTCGCCCTCCTGTCTGCTGCAGCTACGGCCAGGACAGGAGAGCCACGTGTCGCCGGCCACATGCCACCGCCGTCACGGGCACGCCCCTTGGGCAGACGCGGCCCAGCTGGTGCCCAGGGCCCTGGGGAGGGCGGCTCCGAGGGGTCGGGGTGCGAGCGCGCCTCCCGCAAGGACACGCCCGAGGCGCCGGCGGGGACGGCTCTCGGGGGCAGGGTGGCTTCCCCTGGCAGGGACCAGGGGCTTCCCGGGCACCTCGCACCCTCCCCGGGGACGGGGACCGGTCCCGGCTGCGGGCCCACGATGGCGGGGCTGCGGGCTCACCTCCCCCACCGAGTTGGACAGGGCCTGCACGATCTTCTCGTGGGCCGTGGCCACCACGCTCTGCCCGTTGATCTCGATGATGCGGTGGCCGACGCGGACGCCCCCTCTCTCCGCGATGCCCCCTCGCGACAGGCTGCAGATCTAAGCAGACACACGTCCGTCCGGTCAGCGCACAGGTCAGCCGCGCCCGCCGGGCGCTCAGTCCTGTCCCCAAGACGGGCGAAGCCCCCAGACCGAAGCTGCCACTGCAACCTGCGGGCTCGCGAGCCGGGGGTTCGTGCTGCGGAGACGTTACCGCCGCACGGTGTGCGGGACGATGCTCACTCCTGCATCAGGCCGGGGCGTGGCGGGGGCACAGGTGAGGCCCACGCTGGGCGACCCCACCATCCACTCTGCCCCTCACCCAGGCTCAGACAGGTCAGTGCCCGCCTCATGAGGGGGCCGTGACTTCATGGGGTGACAGACGGACAGACACGGGGAAATGACGGGAGTCCCCTGCTGCATGAAACCCACTGGCGTGTAGAGGTCAGCAGAGGTCAAGGTGTCAGGGACAGGACAGCAGACTGAGGGCAAGCTCTTGGCTCCTGCAGGGCAGGTGGCCCAGCTGCACCCTACGGCTCCTGGGGGACGCACGAGCACGTGGCAGGAGGGGCTGGCGCCGCAGAGGGGCGGGGGGGCGGGACGGGCCCACGGGTGGGCAGCAGGGGAGGGCGGCTCAAGCGGCAGTGTCCCCAGGCGGAGCTCCCTGCCGACCCCTCCCTCGGCAGGACGCCAGCAGCCCTGGAGGGCCGTGTGGCTCGGCCACGCTGCCTGACGAGCAGGCCAAGCGCGGAGCAGGGCGGGCGAGGCCCGGGCTGGCAGGACCCTGTCCCCCGAGTGCCCAGGGCCCGCCCCGCACCACCTGAAAGCCTCGCCGAAGTCGCCGTGGCCTCCGATCCTCAATCCAAAAACCACCCGGCCAGCTGACATTTTTATGACTTTTTAGGGGTCCTATTACTTGGGAGGGCAAAGAACCCCACCCCGGAGTCAGGAAGGCTGAACTGGTCACCGTAAGAGGTCAAGGGTCGGCCTGCCCGCACGTGGCACAGATACTGGTGGCGGGAGACACGGGCAGGAGGGTCCCCGCCCCCCCCCGCTGCTCTCCATCGTGGGACAAGGCGCTACGCCGTCCAGGAGCCCCCTGTGCTCCGTGCTGACCGCCCTCCCGCCCTCCCGTCGGGGACGCCCGCCCCCGCGGGGCCTGTCCACTGGGCCCCCGCCGCCCAGGCTGCTGGGGCCTGGCTCTCCCACCTCGAGACAGGACTGTCCACTGCCCGTCCCTCTGCACCGTCACGGCAGCGTAAGGCTGGGACAGGCTTACATGGCCCCCGGCCACAGGCTGCCCCTGGCCGCACTGCGGGACCCGCAGGTGTCACTTGCTCTGCGAGTCCTGCCTTGTCGCAAACGCCACAGGCCTTTCAAACCGGTCAGCGTGTGGGGACCTCGGCACACTGCCCGCAGCCCCCAGGGCCCCTGCCGGTCTGGAAGGAGACCCAGGCACAGACTGATGTCACGGCCAGGGTCTCTGACGCCTGGCCCCTTGGACCCCTGCGGCAGAGTTGGTCCCGGTTCTGGAAGCCAGGCACTCGAGTCAGGACGCAGCCAGGGGCTGGACGGACGGACCCCTGGCCACTCATTTTCCAGAAACGGGGAACATCTGCTTCTGTGACACCCAAACACTCCACGCAAGCCTCAGGGAGTGGCTTGTATTTTTTACCCCCTAAAATGCCTCAAGGGCATTTTGTGCCCAACGTAGCTGGCTCTGAAGAACCTGGACAAGGTGCTTCAGGATGGTCCAGCGTGGTCCCCGGCCTGGCCCTGCGCTGCGCAGGCCCAGCCTGCTGTCTCCAGAAGCTGGGACCCTCCCAGGAAGGTTAACCCCCTGGGGGCAGCGTCCTCCCTAGTCAGGGGTGCCAGGAGGACAGGGCGGACCCTGGCCGGTGGCCCCGGCTGGAGTCTGGGGGGCAGGTGGGCGGAGGGTGTGGGGGAGCAGACGGGCCGAGAGGAGGCCGCCCAGGCCCCCGGAGGGGTGTTCCGGCTTCACAGGGAGCCCTTCCCGGGAGGAAGGCTGACGCCCCCCAGCTGGAGGCACCGTCTCTCTCGGATGGTGTTGCAGGGAGAGAGAAGGGACCCGTTTAGAAAACGCATTCACGGGGCCCGTCTGCAAACGGACGCCCTGTGCTTCGGGGGCCACACAGCCGGAAAGGGAAAAGGCACCCATGCGAGAGCGACTCGGATGTCGCTGACTGTCGCGGGGACTCGGGGGAGCCCGGCGGCGTGGCACAGGGCGGGCAGTGGGCACGCTCTCCGTGACGGCGGCCTCAGGCCCAACCCCGGCCCTGCCACCTACGTGGCTTCACCTCCCTGTGACACGGTGACAGATCACGCCGGTCCCTAACCGACCAGCCTCGCAGACGCCGGCTCCCGTGGTGCTCTGGGAGAGCCTGAGCATGGTGGCCTTCGCGTCCTGGTTCCCAGGACTGACACGGCCGCGGAAGCAGGTTCTAGCGCCTTGGGGAGGATCTGATCAGCAGCCCACGTGCCCTGACACCGAGGGACAGAGACGGCCGTGAGCCCAGGCCACGCGCCCCTCCCCGCTCTGTGCGCCCGCACCGTACCAGACAGCGGTGGGGAACGTTTCCTCTCGTTTGCAGCTGCCTTTCTTTCTAGAAGGTTCTCCCTTTTCCTCTCGGTTGCAGCTGCCTTTCTAGAAGGTTCTCCCTGCACCAAGGAAACGACGCACGCTGGCCAAACGCCAGTGGTCCAAGAGAAGAATGCCGGCCTGGGGACCAGGCGCAGCTCTGGGGCAGACTGACACTCACTCGAGCCCCGCGTCGCCTCCCCCTGGAAGGCCTCCTGCCTCCCCGGTGCTTGGCCCCGAATGAACGAATGAACGAGGGGACGTCTGTCGGCCGAGCGCAGTGAGTCTGACGCTGCCCGGGGCCGTGCGCGTCCGTGCTGCAGCGGCTAGGGAAGCCCCGCGTCCCCTCCAGAGCAGCCCTCAGAGGGCTGGGGGCCGGGCAGGGCAGGGGGAACCCTGTCCACGCCTGGCCCGCCCCCCGACAGCTGCCGGCCCGGCTCCCCGCGGCTGGGGCGGCCAGGGGCGGGCTGGACTCACAATTCCGCTCTGCACGCTGAAGCCCAGCTGGTACTTGAGGTCCGGCCGCTTGATGAGCACTGTGGTGACCGGGGGACAGCTGACGATGTTCAGCTTCACCTGCGTCTGGTGCTTCAGACCCTGCAGGGCAGGGCGACAGGAGTCACAGGTGAGTGGAGCCTGGCAGGGCGGGGCACGGGGGCCGGGAAGGGGCGGGGAGCGGCGGGCACCTCGGGGCCTCCCTTCCCTGTGCTAGGGTGAAGGCCTCCCCCACCGACCTGCACACAGGGCACCCCAGACGGCAGTGGGCGCGTGGCCCGCTGTGCTCCCGTGCACCCTCTGAGCTGAGTGAAAGCCGCTGCCCAGAGCCAGGGGCCAGGCTGTGACGCTGCACGGGCAACAGCGGCACTAGGGTCACCCGGGCGGGTCCCGGGAGGGGCCCTCTGCATGCAGGCAGGAGGTCACCCCATCTGGAAGGGCGGTGGGGACACCTTTCAGAACATCCCCCCAAACCGCCTCGTGCCAATGGTGAGGCGGGCACAGGGAATGGCTGGTTCGATGGGAATCTGTGAGCAGGAGGCTCCGGTGTCCACTGGAGCCCAGGGCGGCCCAGGCCAAGGTTCCGGGGCTCGCCGGGTGGGCAGGCCGGAGGGAGGCCACCCCTCACCACGGCTGCCACTGCGGCTCGCTTCTCTGGCCAGTCACGAGGTGGGGGAGATGGCGGACTCCCGTCCAGACACCGGGGTAAGGCCCTGCCGCCCAAGGCCCCCAGGGAGCCCGTCTGTGTCCTGCCCAGGCCAGCGGGGAAGGCCCCGGTCCGCCTGTCCGCCTCCAGAGGCCCAAAGCTGCGAGCTCACAGGTCAGGTGGTCAATGTGGCCTCCCTTGCTTAAGACCTGACTCCCGGGGCCACTAAGGTGACCCCCTCTCCCCGTTCACCCAGGAAGTGGACTCTCAGCGCTAACCTGGGGGGTCCCGGGCAAACTGGACGAGTTGGTTGCCGTCCACCCACAGTGCTCGGCCCCCGCCTGGGGTCAGTGTGCGTGGACACCGGGCCGTGTGAAACCAAGCGTGGCCTCCCCACCGGGGCAGTCCGGGCCCTGCAGGGACCTCGGCGGTGTGGCACAGGCTCGGGCGGGTCTCCGACTCAGGCTCCAGGTCACGTGGGGACGGAAAAGCAGCTGGGACAAGCAGCGGGGGGCCGGGGGACGCACCTTGATGATGCTCTGGCAGGTGGCGAGCGGCAGCCCCACCAGGCTCGTGCCGTTGACCGAGGTGATCTGGTCCCCGATGCTCAGCTTCCCGGAGCGCGCGGCCGGCCCCCCGTTCATCATGTTGGCCAGGATCACGGTGGGCAGGATGGAGCCCCAGCCCGACTCCACGACGACCACGCCCAGGATCTCGCCCTTGTGTTTCTCCAGCTGCAGCTGCAGGGAGGCGGCAGGTGGTGGGCGCCCCGACCCGCGCCCCGACCCCCACCCCGCCCCCCAGCCCTCCTGGGGGCCGGGAGCTCAGACCTCCAGGCCAGCGTCCGCTCCCCGCCCCGAGCTCGGCTCCAGCGTCCCGGCTCCCTGTGCGCTCCATCCCCTGAGCCCCCCGGAGGCCAGAGGGGTGTTCTCGGACTCCAGGCCACAAACCCGGACCCCGGCCTTTGCTCTCATCCAGAAAACACCTGCTCTCTGTCACCGCTAGTGTCACCCTCTCAGAAAGCCGCCGGCCGTTGGCGCAGCAGGCAGCCAGGTCGCTCGGTCGCCCGACGAGCGGCCAGCTCACTCCTTTAACGAGCAGTCTGGCCCTCAGCACGTCCGTGACCTGTCTACTCGGCCACTCGTTCCTTCCCTCCTCCGACAGAGTCAGGACCGCTCAGCACGCGTCCGCTCGTCCGTTGTCACTCGGGGCAGAGGCTGTCCCTTAGTTTCCCAAGACCCCCGAGAAGGCCTCTGCCTTTGGCAGCTCCGAGACCCCCGGGCAGAGCGCCCTCCCCGCCCGGAGACGCCTCCCAGACGCCCCTCAGACACATCTCCCACATCTCCCGGGGCCCTGCCCACTGACGGCGGCGGCGGCCAGGGCGCGTTTCGTGGCCCCCGACACGGGTGGCCCTCGGCTCCCGAGCTCCAGCGCCAGCTCAGTCACACCCGCTCGGCTCCGGGCGGGGCGGGACGCACGCTGCAGGAGGCCCCACGCCTGCTGTGGGGACAGCGACTCTGCTGCCCGGAGCCCTCCCGCCTGGGCGGGGGCGCGGCCACCCACCTCCTTGCAGTTCTCCGACTTCGAGAAGTGGACGAGGTCGTCGTTGTACATCTCCTGGGTGCTGATGACGTCGCTGTACTCCTTCTGGCTCAGGTCCTCGGGGTTGATGCCGTTGGCCCTCAGGAACTCCTGGTAGGCCACGCTGAAGGCCTGGCCGATGGACTGGGCGATGAGCTGGGCCTGCGGGGAGGGGTGGCCCTGGAGACCGGCGCGGAGCAGGCC